AAAAAAAAAAAAAATTGTGATGGCGACGAGATCGCATTGGCGTACTTGGACAAGTTTGACCGCCTTCGTATCTAGTTATTTATTTATTAAATATTTTTAGCCTTTGTTAGTTATTTCCTATGTTTAGGATATTTATTGCTTAAATAAGTTAGGGTTTGGAGTCTATTTAAAGGAGAAGAGTACTCTTTGTTAGATGGTTTTTTTACAATTGAAATAAAATCTCTCTCTTGAGTTCTATCAGAGAATTCATATTCTTCCCATCGTACGTTTCCTACTGCGTCAAATAGCCTTGAGGCCCTCAGTATAACAACTTCCTTTTCTTATTCTTTTTCCCAAAATCAGGTAGAGAAACTGATTTGTTGCACTTTTGGTCTCAAATGTAAAATAACCACACGGAGATTCCTGTCACTCCATAACATATCTGCAGTGGTGAGTTTGATTGTGGTAATCAACTTACCAGCATATGTGGTAGAAAGAAAATGGAGAGAGTGCAATGGGTGGCGGTGATTATTAAGCTACTATTTGCTTTACTGGAGCCACTATAGCCCAGTGAGTGATGTATCTATAAGACAATCAACATCATATGCTTGCCTAAAATGTAATTTTTTTCTAAATAAAAAAATTGTGAACTAAACAATTTCTCTCAAGGCTTAAATATAAGAGTAAGAAAAAACAACCAAACAGTTGATCTGTAACATAAACAGATAAAAAGCGGACAACAGTACCTGACATTTATAACATCGTCTACTCTGCCTGTGAGCCAGTGGTAACCATCTTTATCCCTAAATTGCCAGAATAAATTAACATATAATGCAGAATATGGGGAATATGATGGAAATGATCCATAAAAAAAAAAAAAAAAAAAAAAAAAAAAAAAAAAAAAAAAACCTGCTGCAACCATCTCCACTGAAATAGTAGCCAGGAAAGGCACTAAAGTATGTTGTTTCGTATCTTTCATGATCCCCATAGAGCGTTCGAAATGCCCCCGGCCAAGAGCTTTTGACACACAAATAACCGCTGCACTCTCCTTCAATTTCAAGACCTTTTTCATCCACTATGACAGGCTGCATATGCAAGTAAATTAAGCATCTGAAATGCATTAATATGTAATGCTTATACTGTTAAAAAGAGCCATTATAAAGCAATCATTACTACCAAGGGATAGCTAGACATAAAGGGTGAAGATATTTATGTTTTGAACAAAATCCAAATGCAAGTATCAACATCCTTGTATAATTACAAGGGTCAGGTCCGCGTACAAGTTACAACTGACCCCCAGACCCCAACCAGTTCGGAATATACTGGGTATATTGTTGTTGTTGTTGCAAGTATCAACATCCTTAAGTACCAATTACACGAATGGTTGTTTGAAGGATGAATTATATGGACATTATTTAAGGCAGGTCAAATCATAAACTCTTTGTCTCGCTTCACATTAGTTTTCTTCAAGATTTAAAAGTTTCATAATCTTAATGAGTAAGAAAGTCATTTCTGAATAAAGCAACTGTAAAGAAAAAAAAAAAAAAAAAAA